CCTGTCTTCCTTTCCCCCTCTACCTACTGTCCACAGTTCCTCATGCTCATGCTGCCATGCAGCTCAAAGGTACCACTTGTCACATCTCTCTAACCCCCTGTCTTCCGTTCCCCCTCCACCTACTGTCCACAGTTCCTCATGCAGCTCAAAGGTACCACTTGTCACATATCTCTAACCCCCTGTCTTCCTTTCCCCCTCCACCTACTGTCTACAGTTTGTCATGCAGCTGAAAGGTACCACTTGTCACTCTCTAACTCCCTGTCTTCCTTACCCCCTCCACCTACTGTCCACAGTTCCTCGTGCAGCTCAAAGGTACCACTTGTCACATCTCTCTAGCACACCACACCCCAGCAGCGAAACAATAATTAACGATGTTGATGGTGACAATGATAACGATGATTGTTTGTGTTCTGTTTCAGACGAGTGCCCCGAGGTGCGCCTGAACATCATCTCCAACCTGGACTGCGTGAACGAGGTGATTGGCATCAAGCAACTGTCGCAGTCGCTGCTGCCGGCCATCGTGGAGCTGGCAGAGGACACCAAGTGGAGGGTCCGCCTGGCCATCATTGAGTACATGCCGCTGCTGGCCGGACAGCTGGTCAGTGTGTCCGTCTGTTTTGTTGCGTTGTCTGTTCTCATCGGTCCATGTGTCACATTGTGTCCTCGCCACCACCGAGTACATACCGCTGCTGGCCAGACAGTTGGTCAGTCGGTCTGTCCAGCTGTCTGTTTTGTCGTGTATCTGCTCCGTTGGTCCATTTATTTTGTCATGTTTTCTCCATCTGTTCATTTGTTTTGTCGACTTTTGTCTGCTCCATATGTTCATTTGTTTTGTCACCTGTGTGCTCTGTTGACTGAATGGAAACATCATATCTCTGCTGGCTGGACTGTTGGTCAGTGCATCAGTCTGTTGGTTTTGTCACCTGCTTGCTCCGTCACTTGATTCGAACATTTTTGTTATGTAGCAGGTGCACTGGTATGGTTTGCTCCTTTTTTTGTTGTTGAACCTATTTTGTCCTCATCTTTCTTTTGTGTGTGTTTGTTTCTCTCTTGTAACACCTCTAATCTCTGGCACCCCCCCGGGGCGGTGCTTCTGACTGAAGTGTCTTAAGGCCGTTTCAAAAGGGGGAACATTTCTCGTTCTAATGGACAGTAGAATTGTAAATGGGCTGATCCAACAATGTCATGCTTATTACTGTGCCTGATCCACAATAGGGAATTGCTGCTTTTTCATTCCTATTCCTTACTATCGTCGTTTTCCTCTTGTGACCCGCTATTTCCAGGGTGCCCTGATAGTCGAAGCCAACTTTGTGCTGTTGAATTTAGAGAGGGGAGCAGAGTAAGTCGGATTCCCTGTAAGGTCTTCTCTGTTGACATCCACCCCTTGGCGCTCCTATGACCTTATGCAGTTGCAGGCGCCGTAAAACCTCTACTAAAATTAGAACTAACTAATCACTGGCACTCATAATATGACCAAATTGTGTTGTAAGTGCCGTAAAGCTCTCATTAAATTAAACTGTTTAGCCTTTTCCCTGCTCTGTTTAACCTTTAACGAGTCGATGTGTTTCTCTTTATTCAAACTGAAACACAAAGTGTCCTAACCTATTTTTCCCCATTTTGTGTGTTTGTTCCTCAGGGGGTAGAGTTCTTTGATGAGAAGCTGAACTCCTTGTGTATGACTTGGCTGGTGGACCACGGTGAGTGCCTGCGGGGTGATGTAGCCTCCCTTTTCTCCAAACTCAGTGTTTGACCATGTCTGTGTTTGTCTTGTGTGCCCCGAACTCATTGACCTTGTCTACCTTTGTCTTGAGTGATGTCCCCTCTTTGAGATGGTGTAGCCTCCCTTTTCTAGAAACTTACTTATTGTTTTGCTCCTACTTTCTTGTGAAACACATATCATCCTTATCTCTCCTCCTTTTTTTGCGTTTGCTACTCTCTAGTAACACCTCTAATGTTCAGCTCTTATATGACGTAATTGTGTTACAAGTGCTGTAAAACTCTTTTATTACAACAAATAAAACTGTTGCAAAAGTCCGGAAGAGTTTCGTTTGACATCTGGCACAGAGGTTAGGGCAAAAACAAAAGAGGAAGTAAAATATCGGCATGTTTCTTATTGTTTCGTATTGTTACTTGGACGACTGGGTTTTATATTTTGTTTATTTCCCTCCCCCTCCCAGTGTATGCGATCCGTGAGGCGGCCACACTGAACCTGAAGAAGCTGGTGGAGAAGTTTGGCAAGGAGTGGGCCCAGCAGACAGTGATACCCAAGGTGCTAGCCATGTCGCGGGATACCAACTACCTGCACCGCATGACCTGCCTCTTCTGTATCAATGTGAGTATCCCTTTTTGTGTGTACAAGGATACTGTATCCCTTTGTATCAATATATGGATATGCTCCCACTGGGGGAGGGGGGGGGGA